GAGAGGGAAGGAGAGGAAGGGAGGGAGAAGGAGGGAGAGGGAGGGAGAAGGAGGGAGAGGGAGGGAGAGACAGAGACAGAGAGACTGATGGCTGTGTTAGGAAGAGCCTCTCAATGATCTCACCCTTTCTAGTCACAGAGCCAGATTTTCTGGGTCCAGATCCTGGATCTGCTCCTGTGAGCTGAGGACAATGGTAATGGCAACAGGAGAGAGGAAAATTAAAGCCCTAACTGCTCCTTTTAATAGGCCAGCCGAAGTCAGCAGGAGTTATCCAAGCTCTCCTGTGTATACACACATGCATTTCTTTTTTCCTTCCTTTTCTCCTTTTCCCCTCCCAATTGTTCCTTCCCTTTGAACAGTTTCTTTCTCTTTCACAGTATCTACTGCACTTTTCAAATTTTCCTTACTCCTTCAGGTTCACTAGGGAGCCAATACGATGTTTGCACACGCGATTCTGATTTATTTCACCTATGAGTACGATCTCTAGTTGTATCCATTTACCTATAAAAGTCCTTAGTTTATCTTTTCTATACCGGTCTGACTTTGTTTAGTGAAATTCTGTATTGTTTCTAATGGTTTTTTTCTCACTTTTTTTATTCTCTTAAAAAAATAATGGCAGCAGCAGTCAGGGCGCCAGCACTACTAAACTGTGCAGGATGCAGTGGGCTAGGGGCCGGGCCGGGCTGCACTGGGAGCTTCACACAGGGGCGGATCATTTCATTTCACATGGCCAGCCAGGGAGGCCCCTTTCCCTCCCTCTGCAGGACGACGAGGATGCAGGCCGCAGCTGGCCCTGAGCAGAGCTGCCCAGCAGCTGTGAATTGGAAGCTCAGTGAGCGGTTGATGCTTCAAGCCGTCAAGTTTTGCTTTGTTTCTTGTTTTCTTCTATGCAGCAAAACCTAACCACACAGCCAAGTTAATGAAATTACTCAGGTCAGTGACAGAGCTCCAACTGTCTCATTTGTCTGAGCCCTGGCATCCTAACTGGGGGAAAAAGTGAAAGTGGAAGCACTAGCCACTTTCCCGTTGCTGGCCCAGAATGCTTGACACCAAAACTGAAACGTAAAGGAAGAGATGTTTACGTTGCCTTGTGATCTCTGAGAGCTCAGTCTGTAGCCGGCTGACTGCAAGGCAGCACAGCGAGGGCGGAGGCTCCGGCGGAGGAGAGCTGCTTCCCGGTAGTGGCTGGGGAGCAGAGAGGGAGGGGGAAGCTGGGGAAACGATTTCACAAGAGCTCCTGGAAACCACAAGTGGCCCTGACATGTGGATTTTACAGTGAGGGTGACAAGGGAAGGGGTGACATGTTAAGGTCATCCAAGGTTTGCAGTTGACTTGGGTCCACCCAGCCTAGTGTAGGCTCAATGACTCTCTTTCCCAAAAAATAAGACTTAGCCTTCAAGAGAATAGTGGTGGAAGAAAAGACAGGGATAGGCCAACTGGGGCTGACAGTTTTGATCTTAAGATTTCAAGGCTGATTATTTCCCAACTAGGTCTCCTGTTGGAGGAAAGAGAGTGGGGTGCTAGAGCCCTCTCTGTGCAGTGGCTCATCCCGTGGGACCCCACCACAGACTTCACAGAACGTACTAGTGTCCTTGGTTCCTGCAACCTGAATCCCAGTTAGGGATGTGTGTGACACCCTGAAGGACTCCCAGACAATCCCAGAACAGTGTCCCCTCTGTCTCACCTCCGTCCACGCCCATGATGAAGCGTCCCACAATGAGCATCTCAAAGGTGCCTGCCCGGAGAGAGCAGGCCATCAGCAGCGCAGCAGAAATCGCAAAGCTGTTGTTGACCAGCAGCGTGTTCTTCCTGGAAGGAAAGGAGGGGCTCTATGAGGACACCCTCAACAAGGCCAGTTGCTCACCTGTCTGGCCCAGGCCTTTGGAAAGTTAGTTAGAGCCAGATCCAGGGACCAGGGAAGAGCCCTGGCTCAGGAGTCAGGCTTGGGTCAGTCCTGCTCCCCCTTCTGGCTATGCGCCCATGGCCAGGCACTTCCTCCCTCTGGGCTCACCATGGGGTCAGTGAGGTCACTTTCAAAGAGGCCTTCAGCCCTGGCACCTGTGAATTCCATGTTATAGTATTTTTTTTCCCATCAAGACTAAGATGTGTGTTTAAGTTCTCTGAAAACCAAGGACATCTGATGATGCATGAGTGAGGGCCCAGGAAAGAAAATGGAGCCCTCTCTGGTTGTTTTCACGGAGAGAATTTACCACAGGAGTTTGTCAAGCAAGTATCCAAGGGCTCAGCTGCTCAAATGGAAGTGGGTGCTGCCCACATGGTGCTGATGACTTGGAGACTTGGAAGGGAGCCCTGAAGGCTGGCTCAGAGCGCTGGGTATCTCTTCTGAGGGGCGCCCTGAGTGTGGCTCTGGGACAGGACAGAAGCTAGAAGCTGGAGTCAGTTGCTAGCCAAAGTCACTGCCAGGAGTGGCAGGACACTCAGGCCCCAAACTGACCAGGTTCTTCCTTCTTTCTCTAGGGCCCCCACAGGCAAAGGACAAATGTGATGGGCTGGATAAAGGTTCCAGACTCGGCACCTGAGGGCAGGCCACAGATGA